AATTTTTACTAGGATTAAATGTCAGGAATTGTGAAAAAATTAGCTTAAATGTATTTGGCTAAGGTGTATGTAAACCTCCGACTTCAACTGTAACAGGTATTTGACCTCTGTGTCAAATAGTGTGAGTCCTGGGGCTGCAGAAGGGTCCAACATGTCTGCTAATTCATTTATATAAATGTTGAAAAGGTTTGGACTCAAACTGCAGCCTTGTCTCACACCTCGACGTTAAGAAAATAATTATGTTATTTGGTGTTTGATTTTTATTGCACACTTGTTTTCTTTGTACATACATTTTATTAAGTCATACACCTTACCACCAAGCCCACATTGGAGAATTTTGAAGAATAGCCCTTCGTGCCAAATATAATCGAATGCTTTTTTAAAGTCAATAAAGCAAGCAATGATTTTGCCCTCTTTTTTTTGGTAGACGTGTTTATTAATTAGTGTGTTTAAGGTGTATATATGGTCAATAGTGCGATGGTTGGGGAGAAAGCCAATTTGACATTTACTTATTTAAAAAAATTATTGAAGAAAATGCTGTTTACGCATATTCCCCTGTAATTTTTGGGGTCTGATTTGCATTTTGCAATTCAGGTGTGACACTCTAGATCCAAACTGTTACAGACCTATATCCATCCTGCCCTGCGTTTCGAAAGTATTTGAAAGCCAAGTTAACAAACAGATCACCGACCATTTTGAATCACACCGTACCTTCTCCACTACGCAATCTGGTTTCCGAGCTGGTCATGGGTGCACCTCAGCCACGCTCAAGGTCCTAAACAATATAATAACCGCGATCGATAAAAGACAGTACTGTGCAGCCGTCTTCATTGAGCTGGCCAAGGCTTTTGACTCTGTCAATTACCGCATTCTTATTGGCAGACTAAAAAGCCTTGGTTTCTCAAATGACTGCCTCGCCTGGTTCACCAACTACTTCTCAGATAGAGTTCAATGTGTGAAATCGGAGGGCCTGTTGTCTGGACCTCTGGCAGTCTCTATGGGGTTGCCACAGGGTTCAATTCTCGGGCCGACTCTATTCTCTGTGTATATCAATGATGTCGCTCTTGCTGCTGGTGACTCACAGATCCACCTCTACGCAGTCGACACCATTTTGTATACATCTGACCCTTCATTGGACACTGTGATAACAAACCTCCAAACAAGCTTCAATGCCATACAAGACTCCTTCCGTGGCCTCCAACTGCTCTTAAACGCTAGTAAAACTAAATGCATGCTCTTCAATCGAACACTGCTTACACCCGCCTGCCCGACTAGAATCACTACTCTCGGCGGGTCTGACTTAGAATATGTGGACAACTACAATAATAATAATAATATGCCATTTAGCAGACGCTTTTATCCAAAGCGACTTTCAGTCATGTGCGCATACATTTTTACGTATGGGTGGTCCTGGGGATCGAACCCACTACCCTGGCGTAACAAGCGCCATGCTCTACCAATTGAGCTACAGAGGACCACAGGTGTACAAATACCTAGGTGTCTAGTTAGACTGTAAACTCTCCTTCCAGACTCACATTAAGCATCTCCAATCCAAAGTTAAATCTAGAATCGGCTTCCTATTTTGCAACAAAGCCTCCTTCACTCATGCTGCCAAACATGCCCTCGTAAAACTGACTATCCTACCGATCCTTGACTTCGGCGATGTCATTTACAAAATAGCTTCCAACACTCTACTCAGCAAATTGGATGTAGTCTATCACAGTACCATCCGTTTTGTCACCAAAGCCCCATATACTACCCACCATTGTGACCTGTACGCTCTTGTTGGCTGGCCCTCACTACATATTCGTCACCAAACCCACTGGCTCCAGGTCATCTATAAATCACTGCTAGGCAAATCCCTGCCTTATCTTAGCTCATTGGTCACCATAGCAACACCCACCCGTAGTATGCGTTCCAGCAGGTATATCTCACTGGTCATCCCCAAAGCCAACACCTCCTTTGGTCGCCATTCCTTCCAGTTCTCTGTTGCAAATGACTGGAACGAACTGCAAAAATCTCTGAAGCTGGAGACACTTATCTCCCTCACTATCTTTAAGCATCAGTTGTCAGAGCAGCTTACCGATCACTGCACCTGTACACAGCCCATCTGTAATTAGCCCACCCAACTACCTCATCCCCATATTGTTATTTACATTGTTATTTATTTTGCTCATTTGCACCCCAGTATCTCTATTTGCACATCATCCTCTGCACATCTATCATTCCAGTGTTAATACTAAATTATAATTGTAATTATTTTGCACTATGGCCTATTTATTGCCTTACCTCCATAACTTACTACATTTGCACACACTGTATATAGATTTTCTATTGTGTTATTGACTGTACGTTTTGTTTATTCCATATGTAACTCTGTGTTGTTGTTGTTTTTATCGCACTGCTTTGCTTTATCTTGGCCAGGTCGCAGTTGTAAATGAGAACTTGTTCTCAACTGGCTTACCTGGTTAAATAAAGGTGAAATAAAAAAAGGTGTGCTGTTTTTCAGCATTTCATTTCTTATGTTATGTTAGATTTTAGCTTTTCATTTAGTTCTTGTTGGGTTATTGGGTAATCTAATGGATTTTGGTTATTTTTAATGACTAATTCAAGGATGTTCCATTTTTCTTGAATTTCTAATTGGTTATTTTGTAAGTCTTTTTGTGGGATGTTTTTGTATAGATTATCAAAATAAGTTTTACAAATTCCTTCATCTTGTATGGCTAATTCTTCTGGCTTTGTCATGCTTAAATTGTTCCACATGTCCCAGAACTGATTTTGGTCAATTGCACTTTCAATTTCATCAAGTGTCTTGTTGGTATAATTCAATTTCTTGCGTTTTAGTGTATGTTTATACTGTTTCAGAGTTTCAAAGTATTCATAGCATAGCTCTGGGTTGCTGCTTATGTTTTTCATTTGAAATTTGTCTTAGGTGTTTTCTAATTGTTTTACATTTGTTATCAAACCATTTTTCAGAAACGTTTTGTTTTTTGTTTCTGATGTTGTATTTCTTTGGTTTTCTCAAATTTGCTTTTGATGCTGCTTTTTGGAATTTATGTTTTGAGTAGCCGAATTGACACCTTCTTTATTGTTTTGGTATTGTGAGTTGTTGAAGACCTGTATAGAGTTCATCATTTCATTTGAGTTCAATGTTTCAATGAATTTCTCTGCACTGTTTGGAGCCCATCTGTACGATTGGTTCATGTTGTAGAGTTTATTGGGCTGTTTTTTTGAATGGGTTTGCTGGTTAATTTCTTCAGAAACACGTTGATCTGACTGTGATCTGACAATGGTGTCTGTGGTCTGACAGTGAATGCACTAATAGAGGAGGGGTCGATGTCAGTGATGGCATAATCGACTACACTTGTCCCAAGAGCTGAGCAGTAAGTAAACCGACTTAAAGAGTCCCCTCTGATTCTACCATTAAGCATGTACAGGCCTAAGGCTCGACAGAGATGCACTAACTCCTTCCCATTTTTGTTCAGTATTTGGTCAGGACTGTTTCTATTATTTATAATAGGGCTACTGTACAAGGAGGGGTGTCCAAATATGTGGTGGTTACCTGCCGCATCAGTGTAGTCAGGCTCAGAACCTGTTCTCACTTTGAAATCTCCACAAAGAAGCACTTTACCCTCTGCCTGAAATTGAATTATTTCTGTATGGAGATTGTCAAAAAACTGATCATCATAATATGATGAATCTGAAGGAGGAGCATAAACTGCACATATGTATACATCATTGTCACAATAGATTGTACCTTTGTTACGTTTTAGCCAAATGTGGTTAGTACCTTTTTTCATTTAATTCAGTGCTAAGTCCTGCTTATGCCAAATTATTATTCCACCTGAATCCCAGCCCCATTTAACATTTTTATGTTTGATTGATGGTAGTAAACTTTCTCTATAGCCTGAGGGACACTGAGTATCTGTCTCCACGACACCATGTTTCCAGTAGGATTATGATGTCCTGTCTCTTGATGTTTTTAAAATGTCTGGATTTGTTGTTTTAGAACCAAAATGTGAAGAGTACAGGCCCTGGATATTCCAAGAGCTGATAGTTCATGATCTCATTTATAATAAGTGATATTCACTGGTTTGAGTAAAGTACATAAAAAAAAAAAATATATATATATATATACACACACATACGCATACACAAATCATTACATATATAATTATTATTATAATTCCAGTGCCAAGAAAATAAAGAATAGTTATAAACAAATCAATTAGAATGGAATAAGATTACAATAAAAATAAGTACAATGCAATGCAATCTGCACCCCCTTGTAGGTATTTGTTTCTTATGTGTGTGTGTGTGAGTGTGTGAGTGTGTGTGTGTGTGTGTGTGTGTGTGTGTGTGTGTGTGTGTGTGTGTGTGTGTGTGTGTGTGTGTGTGTGTGTGTGTGTGTGTGTGTGTGTGTGTGTGTGTGTGTGTGAATTAAAGGGTCTGTCTAGCCCAGTAGTCTGCATATTAGATGCAGTAGTTGGCGCACCTCTCCTATCTCTGATAGTTGATAGGTGTGTTTTGCCAGAGGTTACCTCAGCATATGTAGGCTGATGATCTGAATGATACATGGTGTGGACTGTATCATGTGGTGCACTTCTCTGAAGGACAGTGTTCTGCCCGACCCTAGAGTAGTGGTCAGTGCTGTGTTGTGATGAGCCGGGTCTAATAGAGCTGTGTTGTGATGGGCTGGGTCTAGTAGAACTGTGTTGTGATGGGCCGCGTCTGGTCGTGCTGTCCTGAGGCGGGTCTGGTCTGGTAAATCTGTGCTGTGTTGGGCCCGGTCTTGTAGAGCTGTGCTGTAATAAGCCGTGTCTGGCTCTTCTCTCCTGGGGATGGTGGGGGTACTGTTGTTTCAGAAGGTGGGGCGGGGGGGGCCTCTGCTGCTGGGGTGATGGGTGTGTGGGTCCCTGCCAAGTGTTGCATCCTTTAGGTCCTTAGCAAAGGTTCTGACACTGTCCTGATCAAGATGTACATTATCGTATAAATGTTCACATGTCAGAGTGGGGTGGTGAGCCGTTCTGATGTTGAGCAGTGAGGCACAGTCCACAGTGATCTGTTGATTTATTTTTTTCGATCAACTTTCCTGGAAAGTCTTTTCTTGGTAGGAGGGTGGACACAACTATATTGGTTGTTGGGAACATAGCCTGTGCTCGTTCTGCCACTCTTCTCACTGCCCCAGATACATTTTCACCAGTGTGGATGATGATGTTGTCGGGGGTGTCAATCCTGGTCTGACTGAGTAGCTGCATTGCACTGTCAGTTGTAGGACACCGGAACATATACACCTGGTGTCTAGGGAATAATCTTTCCTGGACCAAGAACTTCCCATTTAAATCGATAAGGATTGCAGTTGTGGGTGACTGTCTGGGTGGAGCAGACTGGGAGGCTGGAGCAGACTGGGAGGTTGATCTGGGCTGGAGCAGCCTGGGAGGTTGATCTGGGCTGGAGAAGACTGGGAGGTTGATCTGGGCTGGAGCAGCCTGGGAGGTTGATCTGGGCTGGAGCAGCCTGGGAGGTTGATCTGGGCTGGAGCAGACTGGGAGGCTGGTAGGTTGACCTGGGCTGGAGCAGACTGGGAGGTTGACCTGGGCTGGAGCAGCCTGGGAGGTTGATCTGGGCTGGAGCAGACTGGGAGGTTGATCTGGGCTGGAGCAGACTGGGAGGTTGGTAGGTTGACCTGGGCTGGAGCAGACTGGGAGGCTGGTAGGTTGACCTGGGCTGGAGAAGACTGGGAGGTTGATCTGGGCTGGAGCAGACTGGGAGGTTGATCTGGGCTGGAGAAGACTGGGAGGTTGATCTGGGCTGGAGCAGACTGGGAGGTTGACCTGGGCTAGAGCAGACTGGGAGGCTGGTAGGTTGACCTGGGCTGGAGCAGACTGGGAGGCTGGTCGGCTGACCTGGGCTGGAGCAGACTGGGAGGTTGATCTGGGCTGGAGCAGACTGGGAGGTTGATCTGGGCTGGAGAAGACTGGGAGGTTGATCTGGGCTGGAGCAGACTGGGAGGTTGACCTGGGCTAGAGCAGACTGGGAGGCTGGTAGGTTGACCTGGGCTGGAGCAGACTGGGAGGCTGGTCGGCTGACCTGGGCTGGAGCAGACTGGGAGGTTGATCTGGGCTGGAGCAGACTGGGAGGTTGATCTGGGCTGGAGAAGACTGGGAGGTTGATCTGGGCTGGAGCAGACTGGGAGGTTGACCTGGGCTAGAGCAGACTGGGAGGCTGGTAGGTTGACCTGGGCTGGAGCAGACTGGGAGGCTGGTCGGCTGACCTGGGCTGGAGCAGACTGGGAGGTTGATCTGGGCTGGAGCAGACTGGGAGGTTGATCTGGGCTGGAGCAGACTGGGAGGCTGGTAGGTTGACCTGGGCTGGAGCAGACTGGGAGGTTGATCTGGGCTGGAGCAGACTGGGAGGTTGATCTGGGCTGGAGCAGACTGGGAGGCTGGTAGGTTGACCTGGGCTGGAGCAGACTGGGAGGCTGGTAGGTTGACCTGGGCTGGAGCAGACTGGGAGGTTGACCTGGGCTGGAGCAGCCTGGGAGGTTGATCTGGGCTGGAGCAGACTGGGAGGTTGATCTGGGCTGGAGCAGACTGGGAGGTTGGTAGGTTGACCTGGGCTGGAGCAGACTGGGAGGCTGGTCGGCTGACCTGGGCTGGAGCAGACTGGGAGGTTGATCTGGGCTGGAGCAGACTGGGAGGTTGATCTGGGCTGGAGCAGACTGGGAGGCTGGTAGGTTGACCTGGGCTGGAGCAGACTGGGAGGCTGGTGCAGTGTCATCAGGCTGTGTGGTGGAGGCCATGCTGGTCTCATGTTCTGCTTGTGTTGTACCAGGCTGGTGGACATGTTCTCTAGATGCAGAGGACATATTGACCAGCTCCTGGTTGAGGGGGTCAATGTACCTCTCTCTTTGTTCTAGCTCCTTTCTTGTTGTGCTCAGATGGTCTCTGAGGTCATCATTTGTCTGACTCAGTTTGTCCATTCTGCTTTCTAAATTAACAATAGATGCTCTGCTCTCCTCCCTGAACTGTTTCATCTCTTCTTTTAGTTTCTGGACAGTGTCATCCTCTTGAAGCTTGTTCTCTCTGAGTTCTATGACCTCTGCTTCGACTAGAGAGAGGGTGTTGTGGAAACGTTGCATAGCAGGTGTTCTTGGTGTTGTAGGCATGTCCTTGGCTCTGTCTGCTGCAGGTGAGTGTCACGTTCGTTGAATGACGGGTCAGACCAAGGCGCAGCGTGATATACGTACATGTTTATTAAACTAATTAAACACACGACAAAACAATAAACGAAACGAAACGTGAAGTCCAAGGTAGAACACACAACATACCTTACACGGAACAAGATCCCACAACTAGACAGTGCCAATAGGCTGCCTAAGTATGGTCCCCAATCAGAGACAACGAGCGACAGCTGCCTCTGATTGGGAACCACACCGGCCAACATAGAAATACACATACTAGAAAATACAACATAGAACATACACAACAAAGAATATACACACCCTGACTCAACATATAAGAGTCCCCTGAGTCAGGGCGTGACAGTGAGGTAGGTGGAGGGACACGGAGGGCTTCTTGCTGGGTCACAGAGGCTGTTGGGGGTGTTGGGGCCTGCTTTTCTCCATCATCTCCCTCCTTTACTTTTTCCTCAGCTTCTGAGATGAGTTCAGCTTCTACTTTTAGGGTAGCAAACACATTCTCAAAAGCCTGGAGGCTTGAATCATTGCCTTGTATCAATACAGTTCCATTATTGTATAAGTTGACTGTTTGATATGTGTTGCTCTGGTCAGCTTCTTCAAAAATGCTGATCTGACAGCCTTGGCTGATGCCTCTCTCTTTTGAGAAACGGAAATGGTTGCACATAACCCTTTTCCATGTGTCCTCGTTTGGTATTAAATATTACATTTGCTCTTGTTTTGCAACTGGTAAGATCTGCAAACAGGCATTCATGGTTCTGTCCCATCATCAAACCATTGAAACTTTTCTTAGCTTTCTCCATTTGGATGTCTGGTGGGTAAACAATTTCCATAGCAACATTGGCTACAATGTTGCAATATAAGCCTACCTTTTCCCAAACAGCGTTGTTTCTTGTATTATTGTCTCTAGTGTCTTTAGAGAACTGTTTTACTTTGATGTCCAACTGGTAAACAATCCAGCTAGCTAAGATAACTGCACAATTTTGTAAAAATAGATACTTTTTCACAAGCCTATCTTCTTCATTTGTTGCTTTTTTTGTCTCCCATTCAGTCCTCCAGTTTTCTTTTTGGTTTTTTCCAATGAACTTCACTCTAAAAACCATGTTTCAATATTTGTAGGAGCTCAGTTTTTTCAGCAGCTGCTGCTCAATTTGAACCTTCTTTCTCTCTATTCTCTATTCTCTATTCTCTCTCTCTCTCTATTCTCTCTCTCTATTCTATATTCTCTCTATTCTATATTCTCTCTATTCTCTATTCTCTATTCTCTCTCTCTCTATTCTCTATTCTCTCTCTCTCTATTCTCTATTCTCTCTCTCTATTCTCTATCCTCTCTCTATTCTCTATTCTATATACTCTCTCTCTAATCTCTATTCTCTCTCTATTCTCTATTCTCTATTTTCTCTCTCTATTCTCTATTCTCTCTCTCTATTCTCTATTCTCTCTCTATTCTCTATTCTCTCTCTCTATTCTCTCTCTCTATATATATTGTATCTCTCCCTCTATATTCTCTATTTTCTCTCCCTCTATTGTCTCTATGTACAAAATGTAACTGTTTTTCTATGTGGAGAAACAGACAAGCATAAACATACTCTCTGTCTCCCACCCATCTCCCCCTCCTCCTCCTCTTCCTCCCTCCCTGGTGCTTTTTATAATTGGGGCAGTGCTGCAGTGCTGTGGGCCTGACTGCCTGCCATGCCTCCCTGCCTGCCCTCCCTCCCTCCCTCCCTCCCTCCCTCCCTCCCTCCCTCCCTCCCTCCCTCCCTCCCTCCCTCCCTCCCTCCCTCCCTCCCTCCCTCCCTCCCTCCCTCCCTCCCTCCCTCTCTCCCTGTCTTTCTGCCTCCCTGACTCCCTCCCTCCCTCCCTCCCTCCCTGTCTTTCTGCCTCCCTGTCTTTCTGCTTCCCTCCCTCCCTCCCTCCCTCCCTGCCTGCCTGCCTGCCTGCCTCCCTGTCTACCTGCCTGACTGCCTACCATGCCTACATCGTCAGTGGGTAGAGGAGATGGAATCATTAACAAGGGAGACGGGCCTCGCTCATGCTCTCATTAGTATTCTACTGTTGGCACGGCTCCACCGCTGCTGTGCTGGAGAGAGAGGAGAGGCGCAGAGGGTCATGTGAACACACACACACACACACACATTTGTTTTACTATCTTTGTGGGGACCAAACAATTAAAATCAAACAATTAAAATCCAAACAATTAAAACCAAACAATTAAAATCATATTTTCCCAAACCCCTAACTCTAACCCTAACTCTAATTGTAACCCTAACCCCAAACCCAACCTCCAAGCCTAAAATAGCCTTTTTCCTTGTGGGGACCAGTGAAATGTCCCCACTCTGAATTGTCCTTGTTTAATATCCTTGTGAGGACTTCTGGCCCCCGCAAGGACAGTAAAAACAAAAACACACACATGCACACACAGACATTAAATTACACATACACACTTGAACACTTGCACACACACACACAAACCCATATGCACACACACACGCACATTCAGCTCAGTAGTCTAAAAAATGTTCATGCTGTTTACAACTATTTATATAATGTCTATACATTCATAAACACACATGATATATGCCAGAAACACTCACATGTGCAGAAACAGACAAGCATAAACACTCCCTCCCTCCGTCCCTCCCTCCCTCTCTTTCTCTGTCCTTCTCTCTGTGTATTTCAGGGCAGGAGCAGGAAATAGATTATGTAAGTCCCAGGCAGTAAGGCCTGTCAGCTGTGTTTGCTATCTGTCCGATCACATTAAGGTGCTGGAAGTGTAAGCAGAGCTCTCCCAGGCACACACACACACACACACACACACACACACACACACACACACACACACACACACACACACACACACACACACACACACACACACACACACACACACACACACACACACACACACACACACACACACACACACACACACACACACACACACACACACACACACACACACACACACACACACACACACACACACACACCCTTGTCCTCTAGCAGGAGTCCTCTCAGCCTCATACTGTCAGCCCCAGGCCGCACAGAACAACACAACTTATTCTGTCTCTCTTCAAGTTCTCGATGACAAAACCACGAAAATAGGTGAGAAAAAAAGCGGTTTCTTCAAAAACAGCTGCCTTCATCCCCTTTAGCATTCCCTTTAGCATTCCACATAGCTGCTGATCGATGCAATATCTCGCTTAACAACAGATTGCAACATTTCACCTTTAATAATAATGACTGTGTTTCCTGGAAACTGACTGTGACTAAACCTAGACTAAAATTGTCCAGAGTTGTAGTCGACTGATAATAACTAAAACTAAGAAGGATGAAATGACTTAAATGTGACTAAGACTAAAAGCTATTTTAGTCAAAAGACTAAATGTAAAATAGCTGCCAAAATGAACACTGCAGAGGAGAGGTTACATTGATCTTGTCTGCCTTCATGTGTTGAAAAATACCAGAGGTCACTGACCCAAGCCACAGAGAGGTGTGCATGATGGACAGCTGCCTCACGCCCTGAGAGGAGGTAGAAAAATAACAGACGTTGATTCACTCTAAACATTCCATCCCAGCAGGAGAGTGCCACCATGAAGCATGAACCATGAACCATGAACCCGACTCTGCCTGAAAGCAACCCCCCAAATGCTGAGAAGATTCATGGTCTGGAGAGAGAGAGAGAGAGAGAGAGAGAGAGAGAGAGAGAGAGAGAGAGAGAGAGAGAAATGGGGTCTGTGCTAGTAACAATGCTAACAATAGCTAACTAGTAATTGAGGATACTAGATGAATCAACAATAAACAAGGTATTGCATGTACAACAGCAGCACGTCTCTATCCAGCACGAGGCAGCTCTGACTTAAGATGTTACTGACAGAGGTTACAAATATTAATGCGTATTACAGTGGACGGAGGGTAACAGGGGTCTAGTAAGATGACAGCGTTTCATGAAATAGGGAAGAAGGGAATACATAGAGATATAGAAAACACACAGCAGCCCTGGACTGGCAGGCTCATCAGAGAGACCACTGGACCACCCGCCATGAGAGAGAGAGAGAGAGAGAGAGAGAGAGAGAGAGAGAGAGAGAGAGAGAGAGAGAGAGACAAGCGAGAGAGAGAGAGGGAGGGAGAGAGAGACAGAGAGCAGAGAGAGAGAGAGGAGAGAGAGAGAGAGAGAGAGAGAGAGAGAGAGAGAGAGAGAGAGAGAGAGAGAGAGAGAGAGAGAGAGAGAGGGAGGGAGGGAGGGAGGGAGGGAGGCCGGAGGGAGGGAGGGAGGCGGGGAGGGGAGGGAGGGAGCTATCCAAAATGGAGATGTATGGGTAAACCACTTCTCCAATCTTTTTGTCCCTATAACAAAGAACAAACAGCAAAAAAATATACACGATCAAATGCAAATCTTAGAATCAACTATTAAAGACTACCAGAACCCACTGGATTCTCCAATTACATTGAATGAACTACAGGACAAAATACAAACCCTCCAACCCAAAAGGGCCTGTGGTGTTGATGGTATCCTCAATGAAATGATAAAATTGACAGACCACAAATTCCAATTGGCTATACTTAAACTCTTCAACATCATCCTTAGCTCTGGCATCTTCCCAAAGTGGAGACAAATTTGACCCCAATAACTACCGTGTGATTTGCGTCAACAGCAACCTTGGGAAAATCCTCTGCATTGTCATTATCAGACTAGTTCATTTCCTCAGTGAAAACAATGTACTGAGCAAATGTCAAATTGGCTCTTTACCAAATGACCGTACGACAGACCACGTATTCACCCTGCACACCCTAATTGACAAACAAACAAACCAAAATAAAGGCAAAGTCTTCTCATGCTTTGTTGATTTCAAAAAAGCTTTTGACTCAATTTGGCATGAGGGTCTGCTATACAAATTGATGGAAAGTGGGG